ACATATTTTGTCTATCATAGCATATCTAGTGCTATATATGTGGGAAGATCCACATCACAGCTCAGAATTTTCCAACTCAGCTCACACTCTACTGTACTTTTTTTTTTTTAAATGTGAGAAAACTCTTGGCTTCACTAAAATCAATTCTACCTAAGTTAGACTGGAAAAACCACAGATTTCCATACCAGAACCAAAAAGTAGGTCTGAGTAGCCTTGAGCATTATGGCCAATTATTTGTGGTCTTTCTTTTACTGGTTTCTTGCCAGAGATGAAAATGAAAGCAACAGAATACAATGAAGAAATAAATAAGAGCAGTTCAGTCAAGTGAATGTGCATTATTTTGGTAGATAGAACAGAAAAAACATACCCCAAGATGATCTGACTTTCATTCACTTAGGATAATGAAATGGAACAATCAAGAGCAGCTTTATTCTGCTGACTTTGACTCCATTCTGTGGGGCTGAATTGATAACAAAGGAAGAGATCAGGAAACCATGGTTTATATTCTCTGCAATGTCAGTATGGGAGTTATGCGTTATCTTAATTCAAAGTCAGCACCTTTGAAAATGGACTGTTTACATTATTACAAACACATTTTTAAATGGATTATTAAGTTCACATTTGGTGAGTATCTACTATGTGTCAAACACTGTAACCCATCTTTACATATATTATCATATTTCATCTTCATGATTGCCTTATTTTCAGAGGTTTAGAGAGGTTTAGTAACTTGTTCACTACAGGGCCAAAGACCAGAAGTCTTATGAATCCCATTGTCTCATCTCCTTCATGGAATTTTCTCACATGAAAAATATTCAAAATTTATATAATTCAGACAGAGAATTATATAATAAAGATAACAAATCCAATGTACATTAAGTTGTACTATATATAAAATGCATTCACATATATTAACTCATTTGATCCTTACAGAAAACCCCACAGAAGGTATAAAAAACTCTACAGAAGGTACGCTAGGGGCGCATACCAAAAAAAAAAAAAAAACCCCAAAAAATTACTATTTATAATGTTCTTGTTTTACAGACAAAAAAATTGAAGTTTAGGGAAATCATTTGAATTCCCCCAATTTACATAACTATCAAGTTGTAGATAACTTTTCTTTTGTTATCTATCTACTCTATTAGGCATTAAACACCAACTGTTTAAACACATAAAAGGAAAGAATTATATTTAAGGGAAGAGTTATGGGTTTGAGATCAAAGACTGCAATAGGGTCAATGAGTTAAAGGATGGCCCTTAGTGATGTGTGAAGAGTCCCTCACTCCTCTGGGCCTCATGTCCTCGTATCCAAAAGGAGCAAAACACTAACTCCCTCATAAACAATGAGATAATGAAAAGGAGACAAATTGTGTGAAAGTACTTGGTAAATTGCAAAGGTTATTTAGAAATAAGGCATTAAAAAAAAAAGCAAAACACTAATTAGCACTAGAATTATTCCATTGGAGTAAATATTGTTTCACACTCTAATCTTTTCAATCTCAAGTGAAGCATCATTAAAGGCTCTTTGAATCTGGTTAAACCAAATTAGGTCTTTTTGTTTCTGTATTTCAGTTTGATGTTCTTTGTCATGTGAGAGAACTGTCATATAGAGACACCAGAAATCATAGTTGAAGATCCATCAAAATGCATTCTAAATTACATTTTATTAAATATGTATGTTTTATAAACATACTAGTTGGTGCACTCAATGCAATTGTTTTTTTCAAATGTCAATAAATGAGTAAGATTTTATCACATCAGCACAAGCTAATTTCAACTTTTTTGTTGCCAATAAAGTACCCATTCAGGGAAAAAAAAAAGAGCTCATGCTCTATGTAAATGGATTAATGGACATTTTACTTCCTTTTTATTATTTTTACTCATGATTCTTAGAAAATGTATAATATCATTATATCACTTAGTTAAGTTTGGATTTTATTTTTAATGAAAAAGAAAAGGGCAGAATTATAAATGTGAAAGGTAGATGTAGCCAAGAGATTGTCCGATTGTCACTTGTCACTCTATGCTTCATGTGTGAGTCCTCGGCTTATTCAGTTACTAATTCCATACAGTCAGTATCAGATATGTGTAGGTCTTTAAAGTGTATGAGAAGCTTTCAAACATGTTATCTCATATAGTCTCCCTAGTACCTTTTAATTTGCAAATTAAAAGGATATCAGAATGCCACTTGTTCTATGGAATGTTTTTTCCTATCGATCCAGAAGCATATCATATAACATGTCATTTAGAAGGCACTTTTTGAGTTGCTTATACACATTCTGAGTTCTTTGCTTTATGTACTGAGTGACTGAATTAACAAAAACCATAAGAGGTGTGATGCTTGCCTGCAGGTCCAACATTATCACCAGAAGCTTCACAAAGAAATGATAATCGGACTTTGAGCCACACATATTAAAGAAGTATATGAATATAAAGCAAATCACTGTATAAGCAAATGTTGAAATTTAAAAAACAACAGGCCCCACGAAATGTTCCAAAAATAGAAGTCCTGATTCCATGGTAGAGAAAACTGGCAAAACACCAAAGCTTTGAAAAATATGCACAGACCAGAGAACATCCCCACAAAATGTGCTCCTCTTTATCCCCAACCTACAGTTTGTTATTTTCCCATCGCTGGAAAAGCCTTGAAAACATTTAATACTTAACTTGCCCAACTAATTTATTTTTATTAGCTGAAAATGTGAGTCATTTCAGCTAACATTTCTGAAAACCATGTATTGCCTTTTTATTTATTTAATTTTTATATGCTGGACTGATCTTCAAATAGCTAGGGCTGACTCTACAGCTGGCTAATCCACTCACTAAGCTTCTCTTTTTCTTCCCTGATTCTCTTCTGCTTGGGCCATACAGAGAAAAGTGCAGTTTACTGTTTCTAAGCTTATGGCATAATCTATTTGTGACCTGATTTATTTGCTCCGTTGTCGGTAGTAGAGACATTTACAGAAGCACAGTCACCTCTTTTGGTTTCCTCCGAGGCTGATGGGCTCCCTTCTCTCCTTGATCCTCATTTCCTTTGCAGTATCTTGTGGGCCAAACAAGAATTGGCATCGTTTTAGTGAGCATACCTTCCTTGAGATTCAGAGTGAATATAAGACAATCAGAAAACACAACACAGTATATAACACATTTACAAATGCAAATAGGTGTTGGACAAAAGGGCACCAAGTTCAAAAATGTTACTGAACAAAAATACAGTGAGGGTGGATGGTAGGACTTCAGAGACAGAAAATAAGTTGTCAGGGATGCTCATTCTTCATTTTCTCTCATCTTTCTCTGGATGAATTTTCTTCAATTTCATCACTGGAGAGCAATTTTTTTCCCTATGTTTTTCCTTTAAAACAGTCTAAGGTACAGAAAACATCACAGCTCACTCTACGGCTGTTCAAAGGAAGACAGATTGAGATATGAGAAAAAAGCCTTTTTAACAAGTTAAAAAATTATTACATGTGAATAGGAAAAAAAAATACGGAAGGTCATAATGCAAAAAGTAAAAGTCTTGGTCCCTCCAGCTACTCCTTTTAATTATAGACAATATACATTTTAAAATTTTTCTATGTATTTTTCCAAAAGGTTATGCTTATAGCAACATGTGTGTATGTGTTCTTACTACCCAAATAACACCTTATTCTGTACAACCATAAAAAAAAAAAAAAAAAAATGAGGGTTTCCCTGGTCAGTGTGTCTCAGCTGGTTGGAGCATCATCAAACACCAAAATGTTTCAGGTTTATTGACTGATCAGGGCACATACATAGGTTGTGGGTACAAGAGGCAACCAATCGATGTTTCTCACATCAATGGTTCTCTGTCTCTCTCTCTCTCAAATCATTAAATATATTCTCAGGTGAAGATTTTAAAAAAATTGAGCATGATTACATTCATATGTCATTTGTTTATTTAACTATATATCTTTCTGTATCATTTAAAAATGATTTTATTGATTTTTTTTTAGAAAGAGAGGAAGGGAGAGAGAGAAACATCGATGTGAGAGAGTAACATCGATAGGTTGCCTGTTGCATGCCCCTCTCTGGGGATTGAGTTGTGCATGCACAACTCGGGCATGTGCGCGGATGGGGAATGAAACCAGGACCTCTCAGTTCATGGGGAGGCACTCAGTCCACTGAACTTTCCTAGTTCATCAATTATCTCTGAAAAACAGCAACAGAGACCAAATTCTGGACAGTCCAAAACTTTGGATTTGTGGTTGCTGGCTGTGATGTGGGATCAGGCATCCTCTCAGTATCGAGTACAGATCATTATTGGATCTTGTAGGGAAGTTTAGTGATGGGAAGAGCTGGTTTTGACACCACGCTCATCAAACTGTATTGCTAAAAATTTTAGCCGGCCCACTCAACTAGTCTCATTGACTGAAAGTAAAATGTGTGAAGTTCAGTATTATTAGCTTTCAGTTTACCATAAACTGTTGCGGACTAAGCCACAAAGGAAATATTTATCTGCAAGATGACATTAAACAAGAGGAGGGCGTATTCCTTTTAAGGCTTGTGGGTTGTAAAATAAACACACACAATTCTACTCAGTTTTTGCTACCTCTGAGGGTAGATCTTTGGATAAGAATTTCTTTGGTGGGCCTGCAACGGTAGCATTTTTTCTGTCCCAAAACATACAAGGAACAAAACAGGGGCTTCTCCGCCGTCATTGTTATGGCCTCGAATGAAAGCCTTGTCACTAGGGCGGGGGCGGGAAGGCCCAGCAGTAGTGACAGCATCTGAATTCCCTCCTCTGCCGCTGATTGGTCAAAAACTAGGAGGCAGCGACCAGCCCCCTGCGGCTCGACTTGCCATTGGCTAGGAAGAGGTGGCAATCAAGGCGGGACGAAACCGCTGCGCTCATTCCAGTTCTATGCTGCCGCTGGGGTCCTGTTGCGCTGTCGCCGCTGCAGCCGCCGCCTGGGTCCCTTCGGCCGTGCCTCTCCGTGGGGGCTGCCTCCCCAGCTCCGAGAGCAGACACCATGGTGAGTGCTCTTAGCCGGGTCAGGCTGAATCCTCACATCGCAGCTGCCCCAGGGAACTGGCCGTGCCACCGGAGCTTGGCTCAGAAGGGGACTCGGGAGCACACCTCTGGTTGCGGGAGTAGCCTGGCAGTTTGCCTGCGTCCGGGGCAGGAGAGGTGGGACCATCAGAGGTCGCGGCGGGGACGGTGGTTCCCTTTGCTTCCAAGAGGATCCGCAGTTTTGTACCGCGCTTGGGATTCCCGAGCTCGGGAAGGGGACTGCGGCCAAGCGTGGGGGTTACCCGGCTCAAGCCGGCCCCGCGGGTGTGGGAGGCTGAGAGCCATGGTGTGGGAGGTGCAGGGTTCGTGTCCCCTCTGCCACACTTTCCCCTGCCCAGCCTGCCTCCGAGCCGTGACAGGTGAGCGAGGGTAAGAAGGTGGCATGGGGGTAGGGTGGACGGGGATAGGCTCTGCCCTTTATTGGTGGGGTGCGTTGCGCCCCTGTGATACTCCTCTGTCGCTGCGAGTACCCCGAATAGGTTGGACCCAGAGTGCGGGGTACAAGGTTAAAGCAGCACAGTGGCAGCAAATGCAGCCTCGCCCTCAAGCCCTTTCCATTTACAGCTGGTCCCTGACGCTCAGGTTTCCCTCTTTGCCCGCAGTACGGATTTGTGAACCATGCGCTGGAGCTGCTGGTGATCCGCAATTATGGTCCGGAGGTGTGGGAAGACATCAAGTAAGTAACTGGCTCCTGGAGCTTGGGCCCGGCGCTGGCGCCGCGCGTGGGGAGTCCCCAGGCGGCCCGGGTTGCTGTCTCCCACCCTCGATTCATTCTCCGCTTCCTGCTCAGGTCGCGGGCGCGCATCTCAGAGATGCCTCCGCCCGCCGCTCCCGGCTGCAGCTGCGCTCCCACGCTCCGGAGCCGGGACCCGGAGAGGAGGGGCGGCCGGGGCGGGGCGAGGCTGCGAGGGCGAGAGCCAGGGGAAGGAGCCTCTGGGTCACTGCGGCCTCCGGACCCGGCCTGAGCGTGGGAACGCGTTGCCAGCTCCCGGCGGCTCCCAGGCTTTGCAGGCCCTGCGGCTCCCACGCGAAGAAGGGCCCCGGGGACCACAAAGGCCTCCGCGACGTTCAAATTCCCAGAGTCCATAGAAACAAACGGAAGACCCTGGCTCATTTAAAATTTACCCACCTTATAGACACACAGATAGTGAAGCCTTTCGGTGTGCTAAAACTGACTTCTCCTGAGACTATTTCTTGAGCAACTGTGAATCACATGCATTTATTCATTCTGAAATAAAGTGAAATTGGAATGTTTGCTCTTTCATTTCCCCCAACTCACCTCCGCCCCCCACAAAGGCCCTTTTTGTTTCTTCTATGGCGAAGGCTGTCAATGGTAGGAGGACATCCTAGTTTCAGTCTAGAACTGTGAACCCAGGACTCTAGATGTGACGGAAATACAACAGGCACCTGAAAGTTTAAACTGTTGAAATGATGGGTCATCTCAGCGGCCACATGGAACATTTCAATTTAACAGAGGCCTTTCCCTTTTTTCCCCTCTCTCATTCTGGTGAAATATGCATTTAACTTATTGTATAGATGACCACAACTAACCAGCTACACCAAAACCATAATTATGGATTATCAAATTGGAACAATAATCTTAACTATCATGTTAAGTGGAGATGGTGGGCGTGGTCACTCTTATTTCCTGTCCTAGCTGTTTACATTTTATTGTATCCAGTAGGTGATGTTTTCATGCGGTCTTTTTCCTAAATACATTACACTTATTAGCAATCAGGCTTACTGTACAGTTACACGATGGGTATTTTTTATAAATATGTTTCCATGGATATGACCAGTATTAAATATTAAACACTAAAATGCAACTTTCCTTTCCTTGGGTCTGTGTCATTAAGCAATGTTTCACGATCCATAAGCCATACTTATGTTACCCACAAGGCGCATCTACATTTTATAAAGGGAAGTGGAGATCTGGCAATTATATAGTTAAATGAAACGAGAATCTTGGCACTAAAGCTCACTTTGAGATTTGAATTTTTTGTGAACTGCATTAATGCCTTTATAATTTTTATTTTGCTTAGTGAAGAGTTATATAGAAGGCAGACATCAAGAGCAAGATTTTAAACTGCGACAAATACAGGGTTATTTTTAAGCCATTTTCTTTGAGAATTGATGAAAATATCATACATATTATTCACAGGTTTTCTTATCTGTAAGATAGAAATTCCCAACTATTCTGGTGGATATGCTATGACAATAAATATATTTAGAATTCTGAGAGCACAAAGAAAGATGGCTATATGGTTAAACAGTCATTATGAATTTTAACCAGATTTAGAATGTATATCCTACCCCTTATCAATTTAGATCACTGTTAGATACAGAAATGAAAAATTATGTCATAAAGAAATATCAGAAATGTTTTAAAAATTAAATTATCAATTAATTTGCTTGTATTGTCCATATTTTCTCCAGAGAAGGTCAAAATACCTAAAAATTACACTGATGTGAGAATTTAACTCTGCCAAATCACACTGACGATATTGTTACATTCTACTTTGAAAATCAAATTATTAATTTTAAATTAAACATCAATATTTTTAATGCTCTATTGTGTCTTAAAATAACTTTGAGCAATGTTCTTAATCTGTTCAAATGCTAACTATTTAAATATTTTTTTTCCTGGTAGAATGAAACAAATCATATGGGTATTTTGTTGTTGTTTTAATAAAATGATCTCAAGGATTATGTACCCCTGACAGGGAAATACTATTAGTTAAACTAGCATTTGCAATCCAGGTATTCATTTTGATCCCCCCCTCCCAAATATTTTTAGTGGAGCTCATTTTGTATTGGGTAATGTTTAGTATCTGGACTAGAGAACATAGTTCAGTTTCCTGTATTGAGGAGATTAAAGTAGGTCATTGTTTTCCAACCCAGTTAGTACCCCTGAGGGATTATTACTAAGAGCTCCCTGGAAGAGCTTTTGCTTATCCAGAGAGATTCTCACCGCCTGGGGATAGGTGAGGAGAAGTTGGAGGAGTTTAATTTTAAAATGCTCCTTGGGAGATTTTGATCCCTCCTCTGGACCTTACCCTCTGCTCTAGAGAGAATCACTGCAGTGAATGGTCCAAGATACTTCCAGTTTTACTTTTTTATGAAAAAGCGACTACATGAAAAAATTATTTTGTCTCAGTAAGTACCAAACCCCTCTATCTTCATTTTTGGTCTGTAAGAAACTATGGAAATTGATGTTTATAAAGTTTGCATAATACTTTTTTTTTTTTTAATTTAGTAGAAATGGTCATCCATTCATTCTTCATGAGAAAGGAGGCCAAACATTTAATGACAAATAAAATTCTAAGTAAAAGATTCCAGACAAGAAATTCTAAGTGGATAAGAGCCAAAAATACTTCTTTGTAAACTCAGTATCTACTTATACCCCCAACAATGTAACCATTTCCCAAGAGCTTTAAATTCCTCTTTTTAAGAAAAAGAAAAATGGTCTACATGGAAGGTAGATAGTAAAAGGTCAGATAGCAAATATTTTAGGTGCTGCAGGCCAAGAGTCAACACTGAGGATATTATGTAGGTGCTTATATAACTACTAAAATGTAACCATATAAAAAAAATGTAAAAAACATTCTTTGCTCCTGGACCAGACAAAAACAGGTAGTGGGCTGGATTTGACCAACTGGCTGTAGTTTGCCCACCTCTGATCTAGACCATAAATACATGTTAAAAAGCAAAAGAGACCTCTAAATCTACTTGAAATCTTTTGTTGGATTCTTTTCAGTTTTCAGATGGTCCTTATAAAAGCCAAGTTTCCTAAGGGATGAGAAAAACCAATCATCATTTCAGAAAATAACATGAAGCCAAGATATACATATTAGAAAAGTATTTAAATACTGGATCTAATCATCTCTGTTACTCTTTCATCAGCCTGGAAAAACTAATCATTGGATCAAATTATGGGTTTTGATTTTAGATTTTTTTTTAACTTCATTGTAACATAAAAATGGAATCAAGATAAGAAAAAAAAAACCCTAAAATGTTTAAAAGTCTATTAAAAAGAAACAAAAGCACTTTTGTAAAAACTATTTTGCATAGAGTTGAGCAGGCCAAGGAAGAAATATTGATTTGACATACCTATGTGCAACACAGGGTATTGATTAGCCCTTCTCTGTTTTACTAAAAGATCTGAGAAAAACACTAGGATCAAAATTTTGGTATGAGATTTGAAAATCATATAATGAAACTGTTAGTTGATAAATACTGGAGTAATTTTCTCTAGAAGGCTGTCAATCATCTTCCTTATAAAAATAATACATATATGTTTAGTGTGGTTTTTACCTATAGTAAGGAAGGTATTTATTGATTTATTCAGGTATTGATTGATTTATTCATTAATTTATTCTTTCATTGATTGATTGATTCATTCATTCTCTAGTTAATCTTATTTTTAATGAGCATAGTCTGTGTTATAGACACTGAGGATTGAAAAGTGAATGATATAATCCTTACCTTCAAATAACATCTAGAAACATCAGACTACTTTTAGTCTTATTCTTTTATTTTCCTTACTGTAATTCAAACATGGAAACATTTGACTGTTGGATAGCATATACTAATCTTCTGGTTTTGACATCAATGTATCTACTTGAATTTGCCAATTACAAATGACCTTTTATGGTTCACAAAAGCAAATGCTTTGCTATAAGCTCATTATGTGACTTTCCAAGTTGCCTCATCTTTCTAAGCCTCAACTGTATAAGGAGTAAATAATACCCACTTTATAATGTTGTAACAAGGTAAAGAGTGCTTAACACAGTTCTTGAAAAACGACATTAATAGATGGTAGCTATTATTTTGTGTTTCACTCTAGAACCAAAGTGTTTCAACTTTTCCCTTCCTCAGCTCACCTGAAAGATAAGAAGCTCTCCTTTAAATAACAGTAGCTCATTGCAATCAGTATCAGTCTAAATATTCCTTCATTGCCCTAGGATAAGTAGCAACTTCGTTGTCATTTTCACTCTTTTTTCTTGTTTAGTCGTCCCATGAAGCTGGTACCGGTTGGTTGGTTGGTTTGGTTTGGTTTTCATCCGAAGTGCTGCCTAGATGCCCTTCTTTCATCCTGGCTCTTCCCACGTTCCCCTTCGCTGCTCTTAGAGCCCCACAGCTGGGTCCTTCGTGTCTGACTTGCCCCATCCTCCCCCTCTTCAGGTTCCAGGAAGAATGTTGCCTTCATTATGCTGTTTTTCTGCTCACATTCTACTTTGGAATCAATCTTATATCCTTGGAGACCTCCCCCCCCCAACCCTATTTGTTGTTTGAAAATGTAGCCTATGTTCTTAGTACTGATTTTATCAAAAGAAATTAAATCAAATAAAATAGTGTACTAGGTTTTAATCACATTTTCATATTCATGAGGCTATTTAATTAAATGTCTATACCTTTCTGTACCCTTGCACAAGTAGGTTTTAGTGTATCAATGATACTTTAAGTAATAAATGCTGTTTAGTAATTCCAAAGTCCTTTTCTCTGTCATTTCAGTTGAGTGCTACAGTACCCATTTGAAATAGGAAGGGCTTTTCTAGCTCAGTTTCCTACCCTCCCCCCCTCCCAGCTTTATTGAGATATAATTGACATAACGTGTATAATTGACATAACGTTTAAAGTGCGCAATGTGTTGATTTGACACATTTATAAACTGTG